TGTATAAAAGAAAATAAAGAAAAATATAGACAAATAATGACTGTAAATAAGGATGCTGTCTCTGTGACTACACAAAACTTCACAGATCCTCTTTTCAGTCAATCACAATGAGTATTGACATAACATATTGACTTACCATATGCTAGTCCACACTTCTCTTCCCTCTGTAAATCACTGCAGGAAAAAGATTGAAATGACATTAGACAAGTCAAACAACATTTAAAATGTTTTACTAATAAACAGCAACTACTAGAAAATTTATAAAGCCTTATAAATACTGAAGTGCTTTAAAAAATCTGAAAGGTTACACACTCACCTGTGCCAACGCTGCTCCCTGAACAAGTGACTAAAAGGGCAGAAACAGCAAAATCTAATTAGTCAGGTCAAATATTCATAGTATTCAGGTGCATCACACGTTTTGACTGCGTATTTCCAGAAGTCTGATAACTCTGAGATGCCTTTAATGCTGTTTTATTTTCTATTGAAGTCATTGTATTTCTAAAATGCTGGATTTATTTGTGTGTTAAAAACATATTATAAAGCATGCTGAAAAAAGGATGATCTATTCTAATCAAAAGTAAAAGGTTAAGTGTTAAATAACCCTCAAAACACACTATTCTCCACCACCTCCTGTCTCACCTGAGTACAGTCTCTTGGGGCAGAACAGGACTTTGCTGCCCTCTGGTGTGAGTGGAGCTACCACCACATGGTAGACGTCCCCACACTGGACGTTGCCAACGTCACAGCTGTTCTCTCCTGGAGATGCGGTGCAGGTGTAGTTGTTGCTGCTGCCAACCATCTCTGCCACGGAGCTGTGGCTGCTGCCGGTGCTGCGCCAGAAAACCCTCAGAGAGTTACCAGCCATCCTGTACAGCTTGACGCCCGACGGACAGCAGGCGCCTGCAAGACAGACATTCCAGTTTGTTAATTGACTCGTGATACTTCTCGTAAATCTGAGGCCATGTGGAAAAGCATTCGACTTTGTTTGAACCATAAATATTAACAGTATTTTTACATTACATTTTTAGAATGCATTTGGAGAACATTATTCTACCTTTAAGAAAGATATTGGAGGAACTGTACACACACACACACACATATATATATATATATATATATATATATAAGTCACTAATATGTAAATGACTGCTTATATTTCAATGTATGACATGTGTATAAGCCTCTGAAGTAGCATTTAAATGTCCTTCTGTTTTGTCCTTATAAAGATCAGTATCATTATATTCCCTGTGTGATAAGTCAGAAATAAAATGTGCTCCTCAAAAAATATAGCTTTTGTATTCATAGTATTTATGGCCTTCCCGCAGATAGAAAACATCCTCACTCACTGGATGAGAAACCGTGGTAGGTGCAGCTGGATTTGCGGCCGCTGTGGCTGAACGCCTCCATGGTGACGCTGTAGTTGGTGCCGCAGGTGATGCATCCCATGAGGCAGTGGGAGTCCTGGGTGTGGCAGCGGGCGTGACCTCGCGGTGAAGTTAGAGAGGTGATGAAGGAGTGAGCCCCTTTGGCATGAGACCACGACACATTGGTCATCGCCTGAGTCACCTGATCGACCGTTAGATTCACTGGACAACAGGGTTCTGTAAAACAAAATGATAAATGTGGATGCATGTGGGCCCAGACTGCCTTTTCTATGAATGCAGAGCTCAAACTGGGCCAAAAAGTCATCAACATTAAGTTGTTAATAAAATATTTTTGTATTGAACTTATCTATTTCATCTATTCTAGATGAAATGCTAAATCTTTAGAGGTTCCTTAATGTGCTTTAGTGATGAATATTGCTTGTCTAGTATTGTTGGAAACTATGGGATGCAACGAATCCAGTAACAAGATGCTACCAGTTTAAGTGAGCCACTGTTTTTACAATGAAGGTGAAGATGTCTCACTCTTTACTGTTCACATTTTGACCTTTTTGTTTCTTTCTGTCTGGTACCAAATCCCAAACTTTATGATAGAGCAATACAGAATTGTTGGAGTAGCATTAAACTGTTTATGTACAATCATCAGTAGTGGAAGAGGAATTCAGCTCTTTTACTTAAGTAAAAGTACCAATACAGCAATGCAAAAATACTCATGTTTTACAAGTAATTACAGATACTTCATGTAACAGTCCTGCATTAATCCAACAGAAGTTAAAGCAAATAAGATTTATTCAAGTGTTAAAGTATAAGATTTGGTTTGGTCCCTCAGACATTATTATATATAACATCATTAGATTATTAGTAGTGTGTCAGCATCATGTTGGAGCTGCTGCAGGTTTGAACTACTTTACATCCAGTTTTATATACAGAGACAGCAGAGAAATCTGAGGGCTCATCAGATGATTAATGGGAGAGAAATGAAGAAAACACAAAGTTTTGATCCAGGATTCTGTTTTCAGGTTTAATTTTTTTTTCTCTCAAAAAGTTTTTTTTCTGTCAAACTCAAGTAGAGTACAAGTAACTCAGATTTGTCCCTGACTGTACTTCAGTGGGGCTGTTGTATGAATGTGTACACTTGTATAATATCACACTTCCTTGTCCTTCTGTTTCACTGTGACCACATATTGCTGATTTTGGATACTGATACTGATGTAGTGCTACTTTTACCTGATCTGAATACATTGGGTACCACCATTTTTTTCTTCTTGAGAATAAGGATTGTGGAAAGGATCTTTTGTGAGACCAGAGTTGCACCAATGACAAGGAGCACTGCATTTGTCTGCACTTTTTAAGGATCAGCTCAAACCGTTGACTGCTCACCTGTTTCCAGGGAGTCAGAGTAGCTGGGCAAACTCTGGCCGGCGGCGCTGGTTGCTGTGACACTGACTTCGTAGGTGGATCCGCAGGGAAGGTCAGTGATGTCGCAGCTGCTTCCACTGGTGGTGCAGGTGTGCGTGCCGTCATCTCCACCTGCAGTGACAGTGTAGGTGGCAGCTCTGTTGTTTCCTGTCCAGCTCACGCCGAAGCAGGAGGAGTTCTTCGGATTCAGCATCAGATTCATCGGCATGCAGGGAGCTGATTGGAAGAAAGGAAGGAAGGAGGAGGGCATTAAATGCTGACTGAGTGTACTGAATATGGTCACACTCTTGAAGGACTCTGCACAATTCTGACAAGGTTGTATGCATCATTTTGGAGATATTTTAACATGCTTACTTTCAACCAGTGATTATTTCTTGAGATAAACACTTATTCAAAGCTATTAGAGAAGTCTGACAACAGAGGGAGGCAATGCATCATGACAGACTGTATAATTATAAAATTAGATATAATGTGATCGTACAAAAAAATAGCATATTATACTATCAGGGGTTGTCTCTATCTTGTGGTGCAATTAAGGAATAAAATGAGATAGCTTTGTGTTTTTGAATCATGCTGGTATCCAGTATTTTAGAGTTGTTTATTCAAAAATGTTATATACCTTTAAACAGCTTAAATATATTTAGCATTATACTTGGTACTCTACAGTATCTAAGTGTAGACAGTGCCAGAGAGACAAATAGAATGCAAGTGTAAAATGTGACTGTACATTAGCTGGATACATGCAGATACGAGCAGCAGTTTGATACCTGTGTCTTTGGTGTGAGCTCTACAAGCATGGTTACAGCCGCTGATTTCATTGCAGGGTGTCACCACCACAGTGTATTCGCTGTCACAGCTGAGGTCAGACAGGGCACACACCGGTGCCGTATCATTACAGACGATGACCTCTGAACTGTCTACAGCTCGAGTCTCATACAGATCTGCCCCTCGCGACGCTGTCCACATGATCTCCAGAGTGTCGGTGCTCACCGAGGCGACGGACACGTTCTCTGGACAGCAGGGCACTGAGAGACACAGGTGCATAAACGTTTAATAATCATAAACAAGAAGAGAAGGAAATCAGTCTCACCTCTGCTGCTACTTACAGGTGGTGTAGTTGAGAACCTGCCCTTGAGGACTGCCGCCGGCCTGGTTGAACGCCAACACAAACATCAGGGACGTGTAGCCACACTGGCAGTGGTAGGTGCAGTTGTTGCTGGTGGTGTTGCAGTGCTCCTCACTGCCGTCACTTTTCTTAATGAAGGCCGTGTAGCTGTCAGCATGAGGCACCGCGTCCCACGTCAGTGAACAGTTTCCTTCCGGTGACTCCACAAGAGCCAAAGACTCTGGAGGGCAGGGGACTGACAGCACAGGACAGCAGGGGGTTTAGTCACATACTGATAATGCTACTGACACTAAATGGAAAAACATGAAGAATGAGATTAACATATATCTCAAACAAATTGTTTCAGTTTTTAAATGTACTGGTACGTTTATACTTTGAGCACAACAATCTGTTGTAGCACATTACAGCATTTCGTTACTGTCAATCTTATATGATCAAACAGATGACAAAAGAAACCTGGAACAGTAATGTTCAAAAACTGTAAAAACAGATGAATACAATGACAAATATATTTAGAATAATGATTATTTTTAGCAGATTTCAATACAACAGCTGTGTCACTTTATGGCCACACAATATAAAAAAAAAAATAAAAAAATCAATTTCACATATTTTTGGTGTGGACATTACAAAAAAAAACAAAAACAAAATTATGTACATTTATATGTTTTCCTGTCACTTTTAGAATCTACAATAATAATAATATTTATCACTTTTCAGTTTCTAAAATACATATTTATCGCTTTAAAACATTTGTAAAATAATAGTGTTTTTTTGCTGATTTAAATACAGCAAAAAAAAAATTAAAAATAATAATTTTACAGTCACAGGTTGTGAAACAATAAGTTATGATTCCTAAAAATACAGATTTTTAATTTGGACACTTTTACAGTTTTTGGCCTTTTTTATATGGTTAACTTAAAAATTAAAAGTTTTCTTCAGAAATTTTTTTTTTTAAATGCTTTTTCCACAAAAGGCTCTGCTCATTGACTGTCTGTATTCGCCTGTTACAGTGAGACAGCTACCTTGGTAGAAACAGTGTTTATTTATCAGACTTAGTCAGCAGACTGACACATTCACATCTCAGTTACTCACAGGTGATGAAGACCTCGGGGCTGGACGGGTAGCCTTCCCCGGCCTCGTTGGAGGCGGTGACCTGGATAGCGTGGACCTCTCCACAGCTCACAGCAGGTTGCAGAGTGCAGGAACTGGATGTGGTGTTACAGGTCAGGTTCTGGTCACTCATCACATGGTACTCAATGGGTCCATAAAGCCCCTGGCTGATGTCCCAGGACACAGAGAGTTTGGCCACGTCATTGTTCATCACCACAGACACACTGACAGAGGAAGGAGTTGGAGGTCCTGTCAAAAGACAAAACATAAAGACAAAACAAGCAAAAGGTGAAAATTGCATGAGTACCATTTTCATATACTGCAAAGTTTTTTTTTTGACTATATGCTTTACTCCCCTGTATTTAAATGAGAATATTGTGATTTACTCTACTGTATTTTTTAAGAGGGCTGTAATTAAGATAATTAAGATTTTAGATTGTAAACTGTTAAAATGGAACATATTTCTGTAGATTATAATAGAAAACCAAGCACCAACCATCAATAAATTAATAATTTATGCAATAACCTAAATAGGAACACAGTTCAGAGTGGGTTACTTTCACTTTGAATACTTAAATGCATTTCACTGCTAATACTTTAAAGCCAGTATGTATAATATGCTGACAAAATAGCATTTTTGAAGTTGTTTTTGAGTATTTTCGTTTGTGCAGAAATGTATTAAGTCTGTACATAAAAAAAGAGACTTTAGGTTAAACTTCCACCACTCTGAATGTTTTTCATTGCAGTATTAAACCATTAGTAAAAATTGAACTTCAAACAACACTTTCAATACTTTTATCAATATTTACAGTATTTATTAAAGCTACTTCTTATGATAAAATGAGAATGATAAATGAATAGCCTTCTGGAAATATAAGACTTCCCTTTGCATTGCTGGCTTACATACATCAAGTATTTACTGACTGGAGATCAAGGTTTAGTCACCTGACACAAACACATAATAATATGTCAATTAAAATATCTTTATCCAAAAATTATAGTGCTCTTTGTGTATAATCTTACATGTCATAGTGTGTTGTAGAGTGTAAATTCACAGAGAAGTGTTTCAGTGCTTCCTTACGTGTCGTCTGGTTGACGTACAGACTTCCTTCTCCCTTTCGTCCCTCAGCGTCCCAGGCGAAACCCTGGATGACGTACAGTGATCCAGCGTCCAGGCCAGAGATGGTCAGATCGGCATTGGAGGTGTTGTGCATCGTGCTGCTGTTTGAGCCAAGCTTGTATATGGACAGGGAGTACTGGACGGCATGATCAACCGGGGCCCAGGATACGATGATACTGTCATTGCTGGGAGAGGAGGTGGAGAGCTGAGGAGGAGGCAGAACTGCGGAGGAGAAGACAGTTTAAAAGTTTTATATATAGGAAGTGCTGAGTCTCAAATCTGACAGAGAATACTTGAAGTCTTATAGCAATAATGAAATTTTGCAGCTGTGTGGCTGTGAAAGGCCGAGCTGTCAGGTGTGATATCATTTTTTAATTTGTATTATTCTAGGGTTTAAGTGAGGCAAGACTTCAGGATTTTAATGTTTTTGCTTTCAAGGATAAATTTAAATCAAAAACCTGATGTTTTTTCTCTATGAGTGATGGGATGCCACAAGAATATGTTATTTCTATACAAACAAGTAGTCATTTCACCTGTAACAGTCCTTTCAGTTTAAGATTAGAAGATTTTAGGGGTCTTTAGTGAGTCGTGTTTCAAGTAAGTCAGATCTCACTGAAAGACTCCTCATTTCTGTATCGCTCTAATTTTTGTCACAGCACATATAATATGGCACAAATGAATATAAAACTCTTAGTTAATTGATTGTGAATTACTTGTTTGTACATTGACTTTTTGTACACAAGTCTTCATTTCATTTATATATCAATGTATTTCATGTGTATTATCGTTAAATTTAATCTAACATATTAAATTCAAATCAATTTGTTTTGAAGATACTTTTTTTTATTTCACAAACAAGAAATCTCTGGTATGAGAGAGAAGATAGCTCTTTATTTGATTTTACCTCTACAGGCAATAATAAAGTCTTATCTAATTAGTTTTTCCTTCACTTTTGCAAAAGAGAGAATGAGACTGTGAATGACAGAGATAAAGAAAGAGCACAATGACTGAGTAGGCCCTTGCTAAAGAGGTGTTTAAGTGATGTTTAGGGAGATAGTAGCTCAATCCAAACCCAAGGGGACACACTAAAAACATTACAGGTATAAAAAAAAAAACAACTCAAAATGTCAAGCATGAAACACAAATCTGTGAAACTGCGTGTTGCACGTTGTTTTTGGCTCATGAGGATCAAATGTTCCCTCTGGGGCGGTAGCGGAGGTGAGAGGCGACAGCTATGTGCTCAGGATGAGGTCAGCTCTTTGTGTTTGTCACAGAGGGAGGTCAGGTATAGTTACAGGAGAGGTCCTCGGGGGCATTGATGCATTTCTTGGGTAAGACAAACCTGGATTTGCCCTCATGATGTGTGTATACATTCCCTCACAGTACTGTATATAGTGGCTTAGCTATGAAACAATAAGGCAGATCAAGTGACTTCTGCAGGGCATGTGGGCTGATGAGAAATGAACATAAGACTCGTTTCTGCGCATACAACAGCTCCTGGGTGTTGTTTTTTTCCATTGAATTTGTGTATGAGGTTATGTTTCCTAGCTGGACACTGAAGACATGGAAAAACCGACATTCTGCACAACATCACAAATAGTTTGATGACAAACAATGGTACCTGTCTTTCCAGTCACAGGACTTGAAGGCTGGCTGCGGCCTGCGCTATTCTCCGCCACGATGCTAAGGGAGTACTCGGTGTACGGTGTGAGGGACTTAATCTCAGCGGGGGATGACAACACGATGTCCTCTCTGTAGAAGCCATTGTCATTCTGGACTCGTATGACGTATTGAGTCGCCCCGACCTTCGAGTTAAACTCCACCATCAAGGTCCTGCTGTCCTTCGACTTCACTGTCTGGATGGGATCCATCTCATCGGGGGCTACAATCATCACAGTTACATTTAGAGATGGTATCCAAAGCAAAGACACATACTATAAACTTAGTGGTGGAGGTGTTGGATGTTCTCCACATGCAATCTTCCATCTTACCTTCAGATTTTACAGGTTAAGAAACAGTAGTTTAATTTCCTCTGAATCTCTCTGGGTACATTTTGGAATTATTCACTGAATCTACCTATAAAATTTTAACAGTTTAAGACCTTTTTTAAAAAAAAAAAATCATAAGTAAGGGGTACAATCATCTATTTTGTCTGACTTTTTAGTGCTCCTTTGCTCAGTGTATACCAACAAATGCCCAATTCACCCTGAGAAAAAAAAAATTTAAGTAACACTGAGCTATTTAAAGGTACATTGTAATATTAGTTATCATCCAATAAATTGGTTTTCCTGAATGTGGCAGCTTAAACTGTACTGCACAAATATCTTAAAGCATATTAAGATAAAGTCAAGCACACATAAAACTATAATATACACCAAAAGAAAATTAAATGAAACAACAGTTATGGACAAAAAAAAGAATATTAAATGTTTTAATAGTCCTGGTATGGACGGAATTGGACCTCACCTGTTGCTGAGTCGATAAATGCAGCATCCAGTGTCAGTTGGGAATCATCCAGAGCTTCAACTGTGAAGGTGTACACGATGTTCGGGGACAAGGGGGTGATGGAGCCCATCACTGTGTTCGGCCCAAATGAGGCAAAAGCAATGGGGTTGTTTGGTGAGTTTTGGGGGGCAACGGTGATCTTGTACGAGGTGGCTCCGGTGTACCTGGTCCATCTGAGAATCACAGTCTTGGATGTTGCAGTGAACACGGATACTTGGATACCTGATGAGAGGAATGCAAGCGGTGCACATTATGTTTTTATGTAATCAAGGTTTTTTTGCTTCTATATTCTTATATGTCTGTGGTAACATCCATAGAGACATATATGTATAAAGAAAACATACTGTACCTGATTGGGCTGCAGCCTGCAAATTTTGATGAGAAAACATAATTACATAATAGTTTTATATTATAGAATCAACAGGTTATGCTCTATTTATTGAAATTAATGTAAAATAAGTGTCATCTTAACAGTGCTGTATTACTGTACCTGTGAGCATATGCTCAGCAAGAATAATATCACCATCCACTTCATTGCACCCATTCTTCACGTTTGTCTCTGGAAACACTCCTCTCACTGTTTTGCACTGCTGCTTGTCTGCTTCTGTTTGGTTTTTACTTCTCTCGAGCAGTTTTACCTTTTCCTAAACATAGGTGCTGTCTGTGTAAGTTGAAATACCTGCATTTAGCTCCTCCCACTGAGGGTCAAATGTCCAATCATACTAAAGCAGAAAGATGCACCTTGGGGTGTGTACGTTGAATAGTAGAAGAAGGAAACACCTTCATAGTTGAAGGCATGATATTCTATAGCCAGAGATGTAGTCACAGCATGTGGCATTAATATGGGCCTAGCGAAGGAACTGGACTTTCCTCAGCTGGGGAGATACTCAGAATTATGAGGACGCCGGTCCAAACTGAGAAGAAAAAAAAAAACACCACTTAATCTACTGGAGTCTATCCCAGTTGACTTAGGGTGAAGGCCGGGGACACCCTGGACAGGTCCCCAGTCTATCACAGGGCTACACTTAGAGACAGACAACCAAGCACACTCACATTCACACCTATAGACAATTTAGAATCACTAATTTACCTCAACATGTTTTTGGACTTGTGGGAGGAATTTTCTTTAGTTGGGAAGGTACAAGAGCAGAAAGACTGTTCCAGAAATGAAGAACATGCCCTTCATGACACCAACAGCAAAGGTTTGCCATTATAACCCTGAAATAATCTTTTATTTTCCTTTCTGCAATTTTAATTTTCTTTTAGTTGTTGTTGTTTTTTTTTTTTAACCAACGTTTTTCCTGCTGGTGATTTCTTTGGTATTTCATTATTTTTGTTTTTTTAAATTCAAAAGTACTGTTGACTCAGTATTTTATATACTTCCTTTACCAAGAGCTAGATAGTTAAGCCACCATCATGGTAAAAACTACAACATATCAAGCAATCAGCAAGAAAGGGAAGACCTGAATATCTCTCCCAGATTAAAATCTATCCAAAAATCGTTAAATCACTGGCCCATGTGAGATTTATGCCTATTAGGCTGCATTCTTTTGACCAAAGCTGTTGGAATATCAAGAATCATATATCCATACCATTCTATGTTTATGTCATCTGGAGTAATAAAAATCAGCTAACTCTACTGTATTTAACTTTATATGGGAAAAAAAAAAGAAGTTACTATTTACATAGATCTCAACTGGTCAGGGATTATGAAAACGGGGATCTGAGAGCCAGGGAATTTGAATCTGTAATAGCAGCTCTTAGAATTAAATGGCTAAAAGAGTGTATTTCTCAGTCACATTCAATATGGTACCACATCCCAAACAAACTCTTCAGTAAGATTGGTGGCATTGATCTCTTACCTAGGTGTGACTTTGAGATGTCAAAAATTCCTATACAGCTGTCTAACTTCCACAGACAAGTATTACAGTATGCAAAAACGTTATTTACCCACAACTTCTCCCCACATAAATGCTTATTATGGAACAACAGGATTATCACCATCAACAGGAAATCCATTTTCAAACCTGACTGGTATGAAAAGGGGATTTTTTTTGTTCACGACCTTCTGGACTCCAATGATCACTTATTATGTTTGAAGGATTTTGTGGACAAGCACAACATTAGCATTTCAAATATAAGTTATGATAAATCCTGTAAAGCTATCCTTACACCTCGCTGCTTTTAATTCAAAGTGCTATGCCATTTCCCTTGAACCTGCCCTCCTTGCCCACCCTAAGATTTGGTGACAACTTGTTAGATAGGAAATGTGATAATAAATTGATGAGCTTAGTCTTTAAACAGAAGCTTTTGGGGACTTTAACTCATGTTCTGTGAAAGATCATTTAGAAGCACCTTATTATCAGGCTAGGTAAATTAATAAATATCATATTCATACCTGCAAGTGAAAAGGTTGTATTCTACCATTCCCTGGGTTCATAAACAGCTTCATCAGCTACTTTAAATCACTGAAATGTCTGGTTCACAAGAACCAAAACGCTAACAAAATGTATACCTGTATCTGTAAGTCATTGCTTTCTCAATGTGCCTTGATTTGTTGCTGCTTTGCTAGTTGTTTATCCATTGTTTTATTTGCTTGTTGGTTGTTGCTCTGTTCTGTTTACTTTTTTGTCTTTATATCATACTTGTCTGTTGTGCTGTTCGTACGGCATTATACCAATAGAAATACACTGTACTAATGTTGACTGAATGCACCCTGACTTGAATGTACACACTGTATTAAGCTGCATTATTGAAAAGCAAACAAAAAAACTACAACAGCGCTCCGTCGCACACTTGTTGACGCAGATGACGTCAGAGTCAAAGGACACCGGACCGACAGGAAGAGGCGCAGAGGGAAGAGAGAGAGAGAAAAAAAACAAGATGGCAGCAGGCTCGGACCACGGGCTCAAAAGGATAGTTTGGAAAAGTAAGTACTCTCCAGTAGGAGAGTATTTTCTACACTTCCTAAACAGCGTGACACTTGCTTGTTAACTAACAGGTCTATGAACTGCGTGCTGTTTGTTTTAACTTCTTTCTTTGTGACTTCATGAGACACTGAAGGTTCCGTTTCTTTTTGATGTTATTTTTTTGTTTTGTTTTGCAACGGGAGTTTACAAAGTTGGGCTGGAGGAAGAATCTAGTAAACAACAACAACAGCAGCAAACTGAACTTGACTTAACGCTCGGCGCTGTTGTTTGTCTTAACTGTACCGACTCCTGAAGCAAACTTCTGGCCAGAGTAGACCGTATGAGGTCACTGTGTCGCTTGGAGCCCCACCTAATTTCTGCAGTCTAACGCAGCACTGTTAAAAAAAAAAAGCTCCTCGGATGGTAAATGACGCAAACCTGCCCTCAGCTTCTCAAACATACTGAAATCTGTTTTCTCCTCCTATGAACGTCTTTGTTTTTTCTGATTGGGTTCAGGTTAGTGGTAATGATGTCGCAGAGAAGGCAGCCTTAGGTTGACGTTAACGGTGAAACAACACGACCTCAACATTGTCCTCAATTACCCGTTTATAGATCTACCTACAGCTGATGCAGCTCTAATGAAGGTTATAACAGTCGTTTTTAGTCGATGTGGAAGTGTTGATTTAAGTTTACACATACACATTACAGCCTCTGACCAGTAGAGCCTTCATAGGAACATGAAAGGTGCAAAGGACTTTTATTTTGAAAAACTACAATAACGTTTACTCAGTATGCATGAGTTTGTTTTGTCCTTTACATTCAGTTTCTTTATGTTCAAACGAAATCTGCGCCTATGCTAGGATATATTGCAGGGCCATAGACTGCATCAGTTTTAGTCAGGAACACCTAATCAGTGAAGGGACATAGTTAGACATTTCTCGCTTTGATTCTTAATATGCTGGGGTAACATGCACCTTCAGTAATTTACTTCATTTAATAAAAATAACAACTGCTGTGAACAAAGTAGTCATCCTTGCGAGGACCTGGTTGGAAATCTTTGTATTGTATTCTTTTTTTTTTTTTGGCTGCTTGCTTTTTTACTTCTTGTTTTTATTTTATTTCATTTTTTGTGTATGTTTATATAATTATTTCTTTTGTGCTACTGTGGTAAAACAATTTCCCTTGTGGATCAATAAAGTTTATCTAAGTCTAAATTCCTATGACAGTTAGGCAAAGAATCATATGAAACACAGCATGACGGTTATACCATGGTCCCACACTGTGAGCAAACACACAGAATATTTATTTAATTAATAGAACTTGCTAAAAATGTCTACGTTTTTGGGACTGTTTTATGCAAATAATGGACGCCACTTAGCCATAGAATTTTCACTGACCATGGTATAAATCTTCATGACTATGTCTTTTGCTGTTCTTCTCGTTTGCTCTCCTCCTCCTCCAAATGTATTTTTGTTTGATCAGTGTCTAGTACAGTACTATGATGGATTGTTCATGTTCTCATCGCTTAAATTTCTGTCCAACACTAGAACCAAGATAGCTTCAAAAGTCTGATGATATTGAATAAACTCGATCTGGCTTTACATTCATCATACAGAGCGTTGTGGTGCTGTTTTAAATGATCAAACAATTTTATTGTAGTGGCAACAATTGCAAGTCATTACAGACAGAATACTTGTTGTTGGTCAATATCATCCTTTCTGTAGCTGAAATATTTCCATACAAATGATGCATTTCTTTGTGCAACAAAAACTTCCTTTTCTATGTTTTTCCTCTGTGTCTTGCTTTTTTTGCTGTGCACGTGTGGAGTCTACGTGCCAATGAACTTTGTGTTTCGTAAAACGCAGTGTGTCTAAGAACTCTTAAAATGAAGTGAAGACTTCTCTTGTAGTTCAGTCATGGAAAATCGGAACCATGTAAATTTTGTTTTTGTATAAAGTAGAAAAAAAGATAAAAGTTGTTGCATGATGCATTTGAGTTCATTTGCCTGACTTCACATTGCAGGAAGTGCAGTGTGACTATTGTGCATGCACATGTCACAGAAACCAGTATTTCTTGTACAGCTCTATTGTGGTTAAAGTAGTATTCCGTTTTCCTTCTATTGATAGAAATTACTGTAAACCATTTAGTCATCTTTCATCACATAGTCTGCAGTGTTACTTTTGAAAATCCCCCAAATTAACCAGTCCAATACATTTTTGGTGTTTCATCAGTATCCTAAATAACTCAGCAATAGATTGCTGAAGTTCTAATCACTGGATTTTCTGTCCTACACAGGCTTTTGAGCAGTAGGACTGGGATACAACTTAAATAGTGTTGTCATGAACACTGAGTGTTTTCTGGTTTCAGTAAAGTTCTTCATGTTGTCATGTTCTGTGTCTTACAGAAATAAAAGACACAATAATTACAGACTGCAGAAAGTCTGAAGTATGGAAGGTAAGACAATCCCTCATGCCTCAACATTCTAACTGAATGAACATCCACATTTTCAATCAAAGTTTTATGTGACTGACTGACTCGTGCTCTGTACAGAATTGTAATTTGTCATGATGGCAGTGCTGTTCATTTTAATGCGGGCCTACACAACCTTCTTACATATTGCAGTGTGATACGTCAG